TCATTAAAGTTTACAAATTTTCAATTTAACTATTCAACTTTTAAAGTGTCAAGTTGTAATAGTTTCGTTAAGTTTTTAACGGCGGATTACTAAAATGAAATAAAAACTAAACATTAGATGTGGTTTTGAAAAAATTAAAAGTTTAGGTACTAAAATTGATAAAAATAAATACTTTAGGTATCGAATGTGTAGTTTACCCTTAAATTTAATATCATGGTTGATTGAATACTTTGTAATGACATATGATATGACTAACATCATCTCCATCTCTGAAACTTAAGGACAAAGATACATGCATAGATTTTCTGTTTTGTAAATGATTCCCAGCTAGTGCACCACTGCCCTTTCCTTTGACATTGGCTTATCAAGACAGTATAAATTAATTGTGCAGATAAAGCTTCTTGGCCTTGGCTTGGAAAATAGGTAGATAAGATGTACAACTTAATATATGGTTAAAGAAAAATAATATTTTAAGTAATGTTATTTAAATTATTAATTTTTACCAAAATTCTATCGAAATATTAATTTCGTTACTTAATTTCTGGTAGAAAAAAATAACATTTTAGGTAACACTCAATATTAATATTTTGGTAGAAAAATAATATTTTAATAAACATTTTACCGAAAATATTAAAAAAATATTAACATTTCTGATAGCATATTTTCTTATCGTAATTAGTTGTCTTTCCTTAAACATCTCCATGATCAGATTTTGTCAGTGTAAAATATCTTCTGAATTTGCTTTATTTATTAGAATTTAGAATGTGAACCATACATGTCTGCTACCTTCTACTCTGTGCTCCTTGAAGCGTCTGCACAAAGCTCCCATTTATTTAGCCATTTGCATGTTCACAACAAAAATTGTAAGAAAATATTACAAATTTTATGAATATGATTAGGTATTTAGTTTCGTTTCTTCCAGTCTATGTATGTCTATAGTCGAAGTTTTGGTGTAGAATTATACATTTTTATTCTTCGAGCATTTGATATTTTGGCAATTACGTATTCTAGGATGAATTTTTGTTATTAGAAGTTGTTGGTCCCGTTAGATTGTTAAAGTTGTTAATGAATTAGTTAGGCTTATAATAAATATTAAGGGAGTGCAGGAAAATCTAATTCGATGGATCCAATTAAAAAATTCGAATATCCGATTCGTTTTTAATTTCTGGATAATTTGGATCCATTATCCAAAAAAATCAGATATTTAGATCATATACGAACCAAATAAATTTTAATTTCGGATTAAAAAGCGAGCCTTTAATTTTTTTTTACCTTGGCCCAGTAATCTTAGCCAGCCTACCCCTAACATGAAATATCCAACCTTACCATGCAGCCCTGATCTATTCTTTTCCCTAACAAATATGATTTTATTTTCAGTTTTGTCGATGTCTGCCAAGTGCTAACCACATAACATGTATTTTATAATATATTTCTAAGATAAGTTTTAAAATATATATTTCCAAGATAAGTTCTAAAATTTAATATATGCAGCTATATTCTCCCTTAACATTTTTTTTAATTTTCAAGATTTGATAAATATATATTATTATTTTCATTAAAAAAATTCTTGAAATTATTTAAATATGTTTTGATAGGTACACAAAATATTAAATTTAAATTTTTTTGTCAAATTAAAATTCATATTTCAATTCTGATACTCGAATATCTGATCTGAAATTTGAATATTCATTTTTTCATATAAGATATAGATCAAAATTTTAACGATTCGAATTTTCGAATATCCAAAATTTAGATAGGATAATATCTAATATCCGAAAATGCACACTCATAATTATAAATATGGTGTATTGGGTCATTTTCCATTGATCCAATTAAATATTCAAAGTTAATAAAATTAGTTCCTTATATTTTGTCATTTAAAAAAATCATAACCCTCTAATAAGCTATCGTCTCTTTTTCCCTCCCACTTTTTTGGTTGAACGACGGTTACCTTCGTTGGCCACTTATAGTATTTTTCTCATACGATATCATTAGCCAAACGATCCTGATGCCGCTATCTCTATCACTGTCGAGGTTCTCTGATCTAATCGATATTGTTGTTTCTTTTGCTATTGCTCATTTTTCGTGGTCCTGATGTCACTTCTTTCGTCGATGATTAGCTCTATCTTGAAGTTGTGTTCATCGACGTCACAATCACAAGTATGAAGCATTGTTGTTGCGGTTTGTTCCGTCATCGTTGTTGTGTTGATTCATCTCCGTAGATGACTACAATTGTTGTGTCGTTGTGAGGTCATCCGTTGTTCATTAATCTCCAGATATGTAACTCGTTGTGACAACTTTTTGGATGAAACACATGTGTTTTAATCTCTCTCTTCGGTGTTTCATATTTGATGTCGAATCTTTTTGGAGAGAGGGGATGATACATGCTCCACATGCCTCAAAGGAAGATGGGCTGACTCTCTCAATTGATCCACCTGAAAAAGAAGACCAAAATAGCAGCAGACTTACAACGACTTTTTGAAAGGAATCCAGATGTCTTTCGACATGTATTCTAGAAAGACGACCGACTGTCTCTTACCTTTCCAACCTCTCTTGAAACACATCAATCCAATGTCGGGACCTCAAGATACATCCATTTTAATGAAGACAAAATAAAATGTCTTCTTATCCAAGAGAGGCTTCTGATTGCACCCAAGAGCTCGTAACTTGACCGCCCTACTTCCACTAAAAAGATCATCCGAAAAAGCGAAGAAGAATGACAGTAAAAATAAACAAAGAAAATCGTATAAGAAACTTAAGAAAGTTTCTTTCAACACTCTGCAAGTGAAGCTTGGAGAAAGCATAAAATGTAGCTCAATGTGCTTGCCTATTATTTGATCAACTCTCTAATCACAAGTTAAATTCCAAGGAGTCAAGAAGTTTAACTAGCATGGTGAATATTAGAAAATATTTTATGATGATTTCTGTTATTAGAAGTTGTTGGCCCTGTTAGTTTGTTACAACTATTAATGAATTAGTTAGGTTTATAATAGGGTGTAAATATGGTGTATTGGGTCATTATTTTGCCATATTAATGAAGTGGTTTGAGCGCTTAATCATATGTCAATCATCCTCCCATTGTCCAACCCAACGATTGGAGCTTCAATTAATGTGATTTACATGAGATCCCTAATCAACTTTGGAATGAAATATAATAAAATCCCTCCATAAATGAATTATTTGATCAAGTATTTCTTCTGTAACGTGTTTCATCTGCACAGTTTAAATGTGATTTAAATATCATTTGTTTTTATTAAAAACAGAAAATATTTCAATTACAATAAAGATTTATAACTACAATCGTAACTGAATATGCATTTTCCTATAATCATTAACACAATAACCATACAAGGAAAATGTAACTAAATATATTCGAACAAAAGGTAGATATGAATAAATCTAATTGCATCAAAAAAAATAAACCACAAAAGAAGATCAAGCTATTAAAAGACCACCAGCAAACCACAAATAAAAATTGAGCGACGTGAAAAAACTATCAACGAATATAAATCCCATATCCAAATATAATCCGAGAGTTCAAAGCAGAGAATATCAACACTATAACAAATAACTAACATCTTGATTAGTCGTGACGATATCAAACCCAATCATGAGAAAAATAATAAACGAAAACAACAACCAAATAACCAAAAACGTTATATAAAAACATAGAAAAACATGCCATAAAATCATAGGAAGACATGACATAAGAGCATAATTATTAAAGATGAAGTAATAAGAGAGTAAAGATACATTATAATAAAAGAAAAGAAAAATAATAAATATCGATGGTCGGCGACTTACATAAAGACTGTGTCATTGTTGATCACAAAAATAAAGAAATTAAACACCCTTAAGTTTATATATATATATATACTTTATTTGACAAAACAATATTATGAAAACCCTAAACCCTAATATTTAAAATCATTAAACCCTAAATCTTCATCCTAAATCATACTATAATCCTAATTCTTATTTTAAACTCTAAAATATTAAATCACAAATCTTATACCTTAATTCATATTCCAATTACAAACCATAAAACCATTATCACGATTTTAAAACTAAATCTTGAACTCGTTCTAGAACATTAAAATTTAAACTTTGTATTTGACATTAACCCTAAACCTTAAAAACTTACTATAATTATTATTAGTTATTTTTATTTAATTATTCAACATAAAATTAAAAATATTTAGGAGTGAAATATTTGATTAAATATTTATATTATATAATAAAAAATTAAATTCAAAATCTCGATTAAATTGAAAAATTCATGTGAGTTAATCAAGGATTTAAGAGTCATAATATTTGATTTCAATATATATTACTTGATATACGTTACAGCTCAAAAGCAATATAAGTAAGCTTTAGAACTAGAATCAGATGCCTGCGTGCGTGTATATGTGTATATATATATATAGGCATTAGGTTTGAGCATCTCGATTCCAAATGATACGTAGGTTGTGTGCTATTTTTTAAAATGAGGTATCTAAAATATATTATATTAAAGATTAATTTGTCAAATTTGAAATTATGAGAGATTTATGAGGCTTTTTTACCAAAATTGATTATGGAAAATGATTAAATATGTTGCAAAATCTCTGTTTATAACTTTTTCTGTTATTTTCTCGAGAATCAAATGATAAGTTTGTTTTTCATTTGAACGAAAATGTCGTTAGGACACAAATATTATACATATACGAGCCTAAATAATATTTATGTGTGAGACTCTTAAATTTTAGAACCTGACACACATTTTATTGGACGGGCCTAAGTTTGAATAGTTATATTTATAAGATATATATACACGCTATAAATAAATTAATAAAATTTTGAATAAATATTATCTTATAATTTTTATTATTAAAAAAGTTAGTCAACAGTCCGGCAATTTTGTGGAAACTTAGTATCGAGTCTTGAGGTGGTTGAGAATAACAAAGTGTTGGTCATGAGTCATCAGTTTCCACCGATCCAAAAACTTGCCAAATAATTCTAAAATACCAACTTGGGATTGGGGACAGGGGCATGCATGGTTTCTCTCCTTACAAGCAACGCCAATGAAAGAAATGTTTGAAAGAGAAAAACGGGGCTCACCTCACCGCTCACAACAGGACCTCTTTTCTTAGTTTCTATCCCCTTGGGTAAGCCACCTGCAATGGCAAAACATCCACTCGGTTGTGTCTTAACCTACTCTGTCGTCGCCTCCCTCGGCCTTGTCTCCTTCGCCGCATGTCTCGTTGCCGAGGGTAAGAGATCCAAGGTACGTATTTATTATTTAGCTTTATAAATATATTTTTTGTTAATTCGTTTAGTAATCAGAAATCGTTTTAATTTTTTCAGAAGGGTGATCTCAAGTTGGATGGGAAACTGTGTTTCTTACCTACGAGGGGTCATGTCTTTGAATTGGTGTTGCCGCAACGGTCTGTCTCTCCACCGCCCAAGTCATAGGGAACGTACTACTCTGTGCAAATCACCGGCGGAGACCAAACACAAGAACGCCTAAGAAACCAGCTCTTACTGCAGTTTTGCTGGCGTTTTCCTGGTACCTCTTTCATTGCTTTGCATGTGTATTGATTGATTATAAACACACAAAGTTACTCTGATTATATATTCATGAACGCATTCTTTCTTTCTCCTTTAATATTTCTAGGATTTCTGGTTACCTGAGGAAAGTCAAAGTATTAGTTTCCCAGAGAAGCTAAGATGTGGGTTTGTTCTGATTGGGTAGAGTAGATCAGAATATGAAACTTTTGATGCTTTTTAAGAGAGAGATATAAAGGATATTGGAGACCAACTAGTTGGTGGTACAGCTGGAAATATACTCCCTCGTATCATTCAAAAATATATAATTTAAAAATAGACACATGGTCTTGGTCGTTGTTGTCTGGTGCTACTAAAACTGAAATGAAATAAAATCATTAATTGCGTTTGCAGGAACATGGATGGTCATTGGTTTTATATTTTATTTATAAATCAAAATGAAAAGAAATACTTTTACAGGATCAGCTTTGGGGTTGCAGCAATCCTAATAAGTGCAGCGACGAGTATGAGCAGAACACAAGCGTATGGAGAAGGATGGTTGGAGGGGGAATGCTACCTGGTTAGAGACGGGGTTTACATCAGCTCCGGGGTGTTAAGCCTGCTCGCGGTTCTCACCTTGCTTGGAGCTGCCTCCATCAAAATCACCACCAATCAACAAGTTGATCAAGACCACAAAATAAATGCATGAAAATCAAACAAAAATAACAGTGATAGGAAAGGGAAGAAAAATGTATAGACACGAGGAGTGTTGAATTTTCTTCTAAATCCCAACATTACGGAGGTAGATGAGTAGGGGAAAATAATATATCATGATTCTACGCTAAAGGGTGATGGATGTATATCGGAATTATTTTCTTTTAAATATTTGATTTAATTTTCATGAGTTTTAACGAAATTTTAAGAAAAATAAACTAATAGAGTGATGAATGACGGAGATGATGACATGTTTTTAATATAATAATAAATTTAATCTTAAAACTTACCCATTCTATCAATTAGATTCTAATGTGAAATTATTCAATAAATATTCAACATTTAAAAACTCAATTCAATATTTTTCTTAAAAATATTTATCAACCACAATTTAATTTAAATAAAAATATTTATCCATCATTGAATAATCAACAAAGATCAAATAAATAATTTTTTTAAATACCAATAATTTATAAAATTATTTTAAAGTATAATAAAATCGATAGAATATATAATTTTAAAAAATATTATTACACTTTACTTAAAAAACTGTTATTATACTAGATAACATCATTTTTAAATAATTAAAATAAAAACTAATAATAATTAGTGACAAATTTTAAATTTACCCATAGTAATTATATCTTTTGTTGTGGTGGTGGCTTTAGAAAAAGGATCATACTAAATATACTGTTAGTAAGAAAACACGTTTATGTTTTGCTCTCTAGGTCTCCTTTCTCCTCTCGAGGCTGTAAAAAAGCAAGTGAAATTATCTGATTTCTGGGTGTAGATCTAATCTCAGCGCCAAAGGGAAAAGTGATTTAGGCAAAGTGTAGCTAAGATGGAGCAATTGAAGACGATTGGTAGGGAGCTCGCTATGGGCTCCCAAGGTGGATTCTACCAATCCAAAGAATTTCTGGATCTGGTCAAGTCCATTGGCGAGGCTCGATCCAAGGCCGAAGAGGACCGGATTGTTCTCAGCGAGATCGAGACTCTCAAACGCCGCATCTCCGAGCCCGACATACCCAAACGCAAGATGAAAGAGTACATCATCAGATTGGTTTACGTCGAGATGCTCGGTCACGATGCTTCCTTCGGCTACATTCACGCCGTTAAGATGACTCACGACGATAGCCTTCTCGTCAAACGGACCGGTTATTTAGCCGTCACCCTCTTCTTAAACGAAGACCATGATTTGATCATTTTGATTGTCAATACCATCCAGAAGGATTTGAAGTCTGACAATTACTTGGTAGTCTGCGCAGCCTTGAATGCCGTTTGCAAGTTGATCAATGAGGAGACGATTCCTGCCGTGTTGCCGCAGGTTGTGGAGTTGCTCGCACATCCTAAGGAGGCTGTACGGAAGAAAGCCATCATGGCTCTCCATCGCTTTTATCAGAAATCCCCCTCTTCTGTTTCGCATCTCGTCTCCAATTTTCGCAAGGTAGGTCTTCCTCATTTAGCTTATTCTATTTCTAGGTTTTTTAATCAAATTTTTATATCATTGCCATTCCAAATGAATGTGTTGATGCATTTTCATTTTAACCAGCATACAACCATGTTTTTGTCTATTTACTAGTATGGAATCGGGAAAACATCTTGTTTCTGTGCATGCATGTGAGTGATATGCTAAATGAACACTACAATTTTTTAAAAGTCGTGCCTTTTCTTCTTCATTACTGTATTAGTTTTTTTTAATTGAACTAACTTACGTATGTTTCACAACTAGAACCATAAATTTCAAATATCTCTATCCTTGAATGACCTCCGTTAAGGGAAGAATTAGCACCATAATGGAGATTGGAAAGATAATGGTTAATACCTTGAGAAGTTGAAATACAAGAATTATTAGATATTTTGATGTTTCTCATCATATATTTTTCTCATCGACCATATACTATCTTATTTATCTATTAATACAATGTGATTTCCTTTGTTTCAGAACTTTGTGATAATGATCCTGGAGTTATGGGTGCAACCCTCTGCCCACTTTTTGAGCTTATAACAACTGATGTTAATTCTTACAAAGAATTGGTCATCAGCTTTGTAAGCATTCTTAAACAAGTAGCTGAACGCAGACTGCCAAAGGCTTATGATTACCATCAGATGCCAGCTCCATTTATTCAGGTAATGCTTTTATTTTCCAAGGTTTCAACTTTATTGGCTTAAATTTTCAATTAAAAATACAGTTATATGATAATCATAGTTACATTCTGCAGATCAAGTTGCTGAAAATTTTAGCCCTGCTTGGAAGTGGTGACAAGCAAGCAAGTGAAAACATGTATACTGTGGTGGGAGACATATTCAGGAAATGCGATTCCTCAAGCAATATAGGAAATGCTGTACTCTACGAGTGCATATGCTGTGTTTCCTCTATATATCCAAATCCTAAAATATTAGAGTCCGCAGCGGATGCTATATCCAGATTTTTAAAGGTATTACTAATGTTGCTAGTGTCTGCTGTTTGGAAGTACACATTTATTGTAAAGCGGATTTTGAGTCTTTTTTCTACTTAGTGAATCAAGCCTATTCTTGTTTCTTGTTGGCAGAGTGATAATCATAACCTAAAATACATGGGCATTGATGCTCTTGGCCGATTGATAAAGATAAGCCCAGAGATTGCTGAGCAACATCAATTGGCTGTGATTGATTGCTTAGAGGTAAGTAGTTTCTATGTTTTATCACACTTTTTATTTGGTAATGTTATTAACCGACTAACCTTTGGGTAGATTATCATAATATATCCTGTAGAGGCTAGGAGTCATGTATCTGTTTCCATATAGATTACCATATATGGTCTAGTTTAATGCTTACTTGGTTCTTTAAATGGGGAAAAGGCAAGGAGCAGGAGTGCAGAAGATCGATGGACGAGCTTTAGAGGAAAATAGGGAGAATGCTTGCAAAAAATTGTAATATATTTGTCTTCCAGTGGCATAAAATGTTATACTAGGATTGACTCCTAGGGGAGTCAGTGAGAAAAGAAGCTTCTTAAATCAATGTAATCAGAGTTTTTTTTTTTCCCTGAATATCCTTTAATAATTTAATAGTGGATTTACAAGACCCCCAGAGGTTTATGTCTGATTCAATCAGCCTCAATTATGTTTTTTTGCTTAAAAAATTTGGCAATTCTGTTGTGGTTTCATCTTTACATAAATGAGGATATTTGGGTGCTTTCATCTTTACATAAACGAGGATATTTGGGTGATTTCATCTGGCCAAAGGCCAGCTTTCCAGACATGAGCCTATGAGTGATTAGCTGGACCATCTAACACTACCAAGCACCTTTTTTGTGGTTTAAGACTTGGGAGTAATTAGCTCAAATTGCCGTTTCTATGCATGCTTAATTGTGCCGATCCACTGATGTATATTATAGAAGAATATTTTCTATCACTGTAAATTCCTTATGCATCTGTGTTTACAGTTTGGTTTGGCTTCAGATTTCTTAGCGAATGATTATCCCTCTTCGTTATGCTATTCCATGCAACTGCCATTTTTTTCATTACAATTATTTATTAACCTGAAGGCACCACACAGGACCAGATGATATTTGAGAGAAACCTTCGAACTACTGTACAAAATGACCAAGTCTACAAATGTGGAGGTTATTGTTGATCGCATGATTGATTACATGATCAGTATTAACGATAATCATTATAAAACTGAAATAGCATCTCGATGTGTTGAACTTGCGGAGCAATTTGCACCAAGCAGTCAATGGTTCATTCAGGTATGTTTTACCTTCCATCGGAAAATTAGTTTCTTAGCTTAGAATGTAGCCATTCCTGATAATTCTTATTTGACAGACTATGAATAAAGTGTTTGAGCATGCGGGATATCTGGTCAATATTAAGGTAGCACACAATTTGATGCGGTTGATTGCTGAGGGATTTGCGGAGCAATTTGCACCAAGCAGTCAATGGTTCATTCAGGTATGTTTTACCTTCCATCGGAAAATAGTTTCTTAGCTTAGAATGTAGCCATTCTGATAATTCTTATTTGACAGACTATGAATAAAGTGTTTGAGCATGCGGGATATCTGGTCAATATTAAGGTAGCACACAATTTGATGCGGTTGATTGCTGAGGGATTTGGAGAAGATGATGATAATGCAGACAGTCAACTGAGATCATCTGCTGTAAGTTATTTACTAATTTTGATTATTGCCTTTTGTATGCGTGCTTACTGCCTATTATATGTCGTTGTATGTCAAATTCAGGCATTGTATGAATTTACGACATTTTTACATCTTGCATCCTGTTCAATCTTCTTTATCTATGTTTTAACTAATGACATTTCAATTTGAGTCTTAAAAAAAAAAGAAATCCTCTCCTGAAAGCTAGAAACCTTGGATTTTGTTATACCTTGTGACTTGTCTATTTTATTCATGACATGAATTGAGTTTCTCAATCGACACATATAGAGGTGAGTAAAACTTGATTCAACAATGAAAAAAAAAATCCAAATTTTGGGTTAATCGAATTTGGAGTTATTCATTTTCTTGAATTAATTCATTTTTAAAAGTTCAAGTCGAGTTGAATTTTTACAACTACAATATTTGAAAATTTGATTAACAAATTCTAAAAAAAGTAACTAGGTTATATAATCATTAATACTGGAGTTAATTGAAGTTACATTAAAATTAACATTAAACAAGTAAGTTACCATATCAAGTTTATTATACTAAAGCCTCTTGGTTTTCTCTTAATTTGCTTTGGAAGAAGTTTTCATGTTTGCTCTCAAATTTGTGCTCTAGCTTGAATTTCAGTCAAATTGTCGACAAGGTTTTGATTTGACCTTATTAAATTCTTTTAGTTTAATTCAATCAAATTCATTTAACTCAAAGTGATTTTGAATTTCTTTTCACTCTGATGCGATTCGGAAACATTTCAAATTGGGTTTGGTTGATAAAGTATGTCTCGTCAATTCTACCTAACTTGATTTTTTTTTTCCATTTGATTTTATTCAACTTGATCAAACACTCACTCCTAGATATATTCAGTCATTTTTTAACAAATTAAAGTTAATGCATTTAGTCATAAAATTGATATGGAAGTCAAGCTTTAGCCCCAGATCTGTTAATGTTGTTGTACAGGCAATTGGCAGAATACGATTGGCTTAAATGAAA